TCCAGGGCCTGGCAACATGTCCCTGTTCTACCTGAGGTCTCATCAGGAGAATATGCTAACGGTGATATCTGTAGCAATCGTCTGGGTTTTTCTTAGGCTTTGTCCTTTTTTATTATTTTTTTTAAATATAATTTTTTTGAGCTATACATTTTTCTCTGCTCCCCTCCCTTTCTCCCCCTCCCAATTTACTAAGGAGAGAGATCTTGTCTTTTTCCCCTTCCTATGTAGATCCATGTATGTCTCTCTTAGGATCCTAGGATCCTCTTTGTTGTCTAGGTTGTCTGGGGTTATGGACTATAGGTTGGTTTCTTTCCTTTGCTTTATGTCTAGAAGCCAAACACCTATGGTAGTGTCTAACACTAGAAAATAAAATGTGTTTGATAAATGAATTCAAACTCTTTCATGCATTAGAGCATTGTCACCATAGGCTTCAATATTAATTCTAGTAAGCAATCGAAAGCTAAGAAGCAAACAATAATGTCACACTCCTTAAGGCTATCACGGGGATTAAATGAGATAATGTCTATAAAGTGTCTTATTCATGGATAACACCCAACAACTAACTCAGTGACAACCATGTGTTTCTACTAACAGTTGCCCTCCTCGTTTTCATTTAGTAAATGCTTTAAAAAGTACCTACTATGTGTCAGAGGGTAGGCACCTACTATGTGTCAGATCTTTTCCAAGCACCAACAATTCTGCCTGCTGCAATGCAAGTTATTTTCTACAATGAAACAAGATAGCACATTGTTGAGGGTATAGCCAAGCTGATAGAATGTTTCTCTAGCATGTACAAAGCCCTGGGTTTTGTACCAGGCTTTTTTCCTTTAGGTCACCAACCAACCAACTCCCAAATCATGAAATAAAGACTTGTTATTAGTTTTGAATGCTTGCCCTAGCTTAGGTTCATTTCCAGCTGGTTCTTTTACCTTAAATTAATCAGTTTCTCTTGGCTTGCCTTTTGCCTCAGGGCTTCTTACTTTTCTTGCTTCTGTATATCTTACTTCCACTGCTTCTCTATGTCCGTCTGTCTGTCTGTCAGCTGCCTGACTTCTTGCCCTGGCTGTCCCTAGGTTCTCTCCTCTCTCTTCTCTCCTTCTTCCTCTCTTCTTTGAGCTTAGATGTCTTCTTATTTATTCTTTGTGCCTACTAGGCCTACCTCTCCTTTCTCCTGCCTAATGATTGATCATTCAGCTCTTTATCTGGCCAATCAGATGCCTTAGGCAGGCAAGGTGGAAGAAATGCAACACACCTTTTCATAATTAAACAAATGTAGCACAGACAAAAGTAACAGACCTTTACACAGTTAAAGCAATATTCTGCAGCATAAACAAATGTGACATATCTTTGCCTAGTTAAAATATTATTTCACAACAGGGTTTGATCCCCAGAACCACATAAAATGAGGTGCGCAGTGTAAATGCCGGGAAATCATAAAGTTCAAGATCATCCTTGTGTACCTAGAAAGTCTGAGACTATTCTTCAATATAGTAGATCTTGTCTCAAAAATAGAAAAGGGAAAAAATAAGACCATAAATAAATCCCCTACCCTAGACAACAAGTTGGTTACCTATGGCCTTAAACGCAGCAACTTAAACACGTGAGGATTAAGATCACAGGCAATAAAAAGGCTTGTAGATAGACTGAACATAGTCAACAATGTGAAGGGTATATACTTCAATCTTCCTCACTAGCAAATCCTCCGTGGTTGGTGCCCAGAATTTTCTTTAGCATCTTTATTCTTGTGGACAGTCTCTTCCAGGTGAATAGCCTATTCTATCTCTGGACAGTTGGAATAACACTTCATTCAGCCTTGTAGCTGGATGACGAAGCTCCCAGTCAGAAAGCTGGTTATGTAGCCGCACACTAACGCCTCCTTTCTTTGCACAGAGTGTAATTAAAAAAGAAAAGGAAAGAAAGTTAAGTCACTATGGTGTGATCAGAGGGAGCAGTCAGGACAAGTCAATATGAGCATCACCATCACCGCTTCTACTACAATCGTGGCACTTCCGGTAACACTGCACCCGTGAGTGAGCAGCGTTTGGAGGATATTCTGATCCCCCAGAGGCAGATTCAGATGTCTGGGTGTAAACTCTGAGGACTTGCTGAGGCCCTTGGGGCACTCTGAGAGCAATGGTTCTCAACATCAGCTGCAATCTAAAGTCATCCTGGGAACGTGTGTGAACTCCCGGGACCCAATGGGCAAGCAAAGCTGACTCTCTGAGAGTGAGATCTACGCATCTATACTTTGAAAAGCCTCCCACCGTGGGACTCCTGTGCATAGCTGAGATTCAGATCTGAGCCCTTCAAGGCTCTGGGTCCCACACTACCGCAGGTTAATGTGCCCGAGGGTCACGTCGGAATCTTGCTGGCATTGCAGAATCTGACTCATCAGCACTGGCACCGAGGTCTGGTCCTTCCCAGAAGCCCCCAAGTAGATGCTGAGGTGGCTAATCAGACATTGCATTATCACTCGCAAAGCCAGTAATTCCTGATCCAAAAGAGACCCTAGAGATGTCAGGGAGTGTGGGTACTAATGAGGAGTTGGTACTGATTCTGAAGAGAGTTTCTAAAATCCTGAAGAAATGGCTCTGCCTAAAAGCCTTCTTCAGTCACAGCTGCTGCGTCAAGCAAGCAAGCAGAACAGCTGGCATTGATACAGCCACGCAGCAACTTAAACACGTGCGTCTGGTCAAGCATGAGATACTCATCTGCTTCATCAGCGCTTGGGGGCTGAAGCAGGAGGATCATGAGTTTGAAGCCAAGCTAGGCTACATAGTAAGACCCTGTTTCCAGAAAAAAAAAATAGACATTTGTTTGTTTGTTTGGTGTTTTGTTTGTTTTTAACAATTCCTAGAATTAAATTACTGAAGCTCAAGCTTAAACCTTAGCTTCGCCCTTCACCCACTGTTTTCTCTTTGGCAAGTTGGTATCTTCACACCTCTATGTCTCTACCTGGAAAACAGAAATACTGACAATACCTTAGAAAATTATAAGACATTATCTTATAAAAATTAAATGAGTTCATACAGAAAACACACCTAGATTGGTGCCTGGGAAATAGTAAAGCTCATGAATTGTGGGTTACTATAATTGTTAGGGTGGGAAGGGGCAGTTTTTGGTGTCCATGTAGATGCGTACAAAGCTTTGCTTAGTTGCACACATGGCTGTGTGACCAGAGCTAGGGTGCTGGTCCCTGTGAGTCTCAGTTTTCTCGTTTGACAGGGACAACAGCAAGGATCTACAGAAGGTGACAGGGTAAATTATAAGCACACGGCACGTGCCACACCGTTGACCTTTGGTAAGAAGTAGCTGATGGAGCATCAAGCCAGGCTGGACCTCAGGGGCCACCAGTGTGGCTGCATGGTGACTGTGTGACCTGAATCAGGGCCGTGGTCTGTTTCTACATCAGCTACTAGGATGGGAGGGTGTGAGTCCATAGAAGAGCACTTTGCAAACCGTGAGGCTAAAATCTCAAATATGGGTTCTAATACGGTGCAGGTGTTCTTTCCGCCTTACCCAGGAGAAAGAAAAAGAAGTGTTTGCTGTGTTGTAGTACTGCCGAGCACTTCCCCAAAGACAAGGTTTTAGTGGATCGGGCAGTGAGGGCAGGCAACCTCGCCCTTTCCAGTCAAGTCTGACTCTGTCTTTTGAATGAAATGGCATCGCTCACTAATGAATAAATAAATAAATAATAAATAACCCGTCTATATGAAAAAATCCTTTCCTTTGACAGTGGGATGGTCTCCCATAGCAACCTCGTTCCTTTTACATATTTTGGTGGTACCCTTTCCCCAGCATCCCTCCAGACACATCTCTATAAGTCCATTAGGAAGGGAGCATGGAAGGCTGCGTGTTTGATGGGCACTTAAAGGGGGCACTGGAGCATGTACCGAAATGAGTCCTTAGAGTGGACACAGCGGCACCCAGAGGTTCCAGGCCGCCTCTCCCTGCTACTGAAACCTCCCTGAGCAGGCGTCCCATGCGCCTGGCTCCTAAGCACCATCTGGCAGCCCCATCTTGAGCTCTGCCACTCTTGCGTGTGATCCGGACAGCCCCGGTTCGCTTCTATCTAACAACACGGGTGTACTGACATTTATCATCTTTCACTTTCCAGAGCAGAGAGGCAGTCTGACAGACGCGAGGGACATACATCTCTGTGGCATTGCACCCTGCAGCTGACGTGGGGGATTTCTCCTCCTCTGTCACCCTTTGGCACATGCTCCTTCACTCAGCTCTAATGACGGTCACTAGCTTGTACTTTGAGCAAGGGGCGGAGAGTCGCTCCAAAAACCTACACTGCGTGCAAGCTCTTCTTTCTAGGATAAGACTACACATTTACAGACTCATTCACATTTTAGGTATACATATGTTTCTGTTTTTTTTTTTTTTTTTAAAAAAATGAGGTGTTAATTGAGCCCATACCTGTGCATGTGTGTTCACATATGGAAGTCTTGGATAAACAGCATATAAAAATACAGGTTATTTTCCTACAAACTGTCTCCTAATCTGGCACTCAGCAACACGCTCGCTCGGTATTCCATTATTAGGACTTGGATTTCTGTTTGCCAATACCGTTTGAAGGACAAAAGTTGTGCTAATGAGTCAAAACATTTTCCTTCTATTTAAACTCCTTGGTGCCCTAATGAGACTGTCAAATGAGCCCTGAACAAAAGGGAAAAACATGACTCAACTTCTGGAGGCCCTGAAAATATTCTACGTAAACCAGCGCGTTCCCAAACACAGCCTCGTTTATTCAGGTGCTGCTTCGTTCTTCTGGTATCTTTTGTTTTCCAGTCCCAGGCCATTGTTTGGAGGGTTGAACAATGCATCTTATGTAACCCAGGCTGTCACAGGAGGAACCCCTCCCCCGGGTTATCAGTGACTCTTGTTTATTCTGTGCTTGGGGAGTCAAACAGCCTTAACTGGCCAGTGAATCATGCTGCGGCCGGCCACAGCAGGAAGATGACGACAGCCCCGGTTTTTTAACTACTAGGGAGACCAAGAAGGAAACGCTAATGAGTGGGCAAAAGACGCAGATAGGGAGGAAAGAGAAGGCCGCCTGAGAAAGGAAGAAAGTACGTGGGCTTCTGTTGTGATGAGAATGTCACCAGGAACCGCAGAGCAGCTCTCTGAGTGTCATCCAAGGTGAAAAGGAAGAGACCATCCTGAAAGAAGGCACAGGCAGAACTCAAATTTCTAGGAAGAGTTGATTTTGCAAGAAGGAGTCATGAGGCAGGAGGATTCTATCTAAATATATTTGATTCGGGGATGACTTTCCTGTCCATCGGTGTTGAGGAGGAGGGGGCAAGGGTGGTCTGTGAAGTAGGAAGAGAAAAACTCAGGGAAACGGTGAGCTGGAAAGAAGATGGGAAAACTCTTCCAGGCAAGATAGCTGGGACCCTGGTCTCCCACTGGAAACTGCTCTGCTGTCTTACGCTATTTTAGGGCCAGGCTCTCTGTCTTTTAAAAATGAGATCCCAAGTCTTCTTATGGGAGGGTGATCGTTCTAGCCCCGTGGATCAACAGCAAATAAATACTACCAAATATTCACACTGTGGAAACATCAGGCAAGAGTCAGACAGGATTTGAGCAATCTTCCAGGAAAATACGTTTTTTGGGGTCACAGCAAAAAAGATTATATGGCAACCTGGCATTATCATATCCCACTGAGAGGGCTAAAAACTGGTGAGATATTTCCAGAGGACAGCTTGGCAGTATGGACCAAAAGCCTCAAAACAGTGAATACGCTTTGCTCATCAGAGGGGTGAATTGCCCAGTAAACCTAGAGTCTTTTTCACAAAGAATAAGCAATTATGGCTCTTCTCAAAGACAGCAAAAGTTCCGTTCATCCACTATTGTTTCCTAACAGCAAAAACCAAAACCAATTTAAAACTTTGACTAGAGGACTAGATGACTAATTAGCATATATTTGAAGCAAAATCCCAGATAGTCATTAAATTAATATATAAGAGTATTTATTAATGGGGGAACTACTCATGCCACATCATTCAATCACCGGTGTTCTAAAACCATGTATCCAGTGTGATCTCATTTTTTGTATAAGACATTCATAGAATGATACATGCTTAACTACTGAGAGAGGCTTATTTGTAGAGGTAAAATAACAGTTTCATTTTCTTTCTCGCATTTATTTTTGACGTACAACTTTCTATTAAAATTGGTTGCATTAATTTCGAGTGCTGATTCCTGCACCTAGATCCCGCTGGTTGATCTCTGTGCAGTATGCTGTCTGTCACCTAGTATATCAGTGTCTTCTCTTCTCACGACACGGCTCTGCACTCACTCCATCTGCACGTCCCACGTACCTACCTTTGAGTTCATCATTCCCCATCCCTGGAGCCTCAATGATCCCAGTTTCACTGCTCCACTCTCTTTCTTAGCATCTGCTATTCCTCAAAGCCTTCAGGTCCACAGACATGAAAAAATACCTGAGTCTTCACCCCTGCCATGTCCCCTCTGCCTTCACCCCTGCCATGTCCCCTCTGCCTTCACCCCTGCCATGTCCTCTCTTCCCTCCTAGCTCAACTCAGTTTTCACGATCAATGATTAAATGTTTTCTGCCCAGACACTCCATCCCTTGCCTCTTTTATTTTTTCATTTTATGAACCTGGAAAAAGCTCCAATCTTGGTTGATTGTAATTCTCTGCCTCAGCTACGGCTGTGCCCATGCAGCTGAGTTTAGCTGGAGAAACTAGCCATCTTGAGCCTCATATCAAGTTCAGTATGGGTGACATCAAGTGTCAACTTCCACGGTTGACTCTTCTTTAACTTCCATCTCCTTTCTTATAGGATGACCCTAATCCTGTTTCCTCACAGAGAAAACAGAAGCAACCAGAAAAGAGATTCAAACGCCACACGTATGTCCTTCCAGCACCCACGTATGTCCCTGTCTTCCGCCTCTCATCTGCTGTGAATGAACACACACTCCCAGCTAAAGCTACACCTTCCAGCTACACACAGAGCCCTGTACTGTGCAGAGTCCAGCTGTCAACCCACAATTCTCACCCTACTCCCCCTTGGCGCCATCAATAAAGGTGACTGCTACAGTTTGGCGGGTTTGCCATGCTCCTCTCGGTGGGATCACAGGCCACTTCTTCCCTATTCTTCTCTCCACCTGCTGCTTTTTCCCAGCTTCCTTTGCTGCTTCATCCTAACCCCTTCCCAAGACCCCGTGATGCTGGGGAGTCTCAAGGCTCAGTCCTTAGGCTGTTTCTTATTTCCAATCCATGCTCATTTTCCTGGTGCCTCTACAAAATGTCATTTTTAAACACTATGTCTATGCTTATGCATCCCAGATATATAGATCTGTATCCCTCGCTTTGCTCCCGGGGTCCAGACTCATACCTAATAGTCACCTACACACTCACCTACATAGCCAACATCTGTACTCATTTAAAATGTCAGAAAACAAATTCCTGCTTTAACCACCAAATCCATTTCTTCTCAGTCTTTTTTCCCACCAGATAATGACCATCCCGTTCATCTGATAGCTCCGTGCAGAAGCCGTGGTGCCATCCAAATGCATCAAAAAAAAAAAAATCCTGCTGGCTCTTTCTTAAAAATACAAAGATCTGATCACTTCTTATCCGTATCTTGCTAGCATCTTGGGAATGCCACTCACGGCCCTGACCACCTGTGTCATCTTTAGCTTCATCTCTTTCTCTTTCCCCATCTATACGTCAACTTAAAAAAAAAAGATTTATTTTTTGTGTGTATAAGTGCTTGCCTGCATGTATATCTGTGCCCTACAAACATGCCTGGTACCTCAGAGGCCAGAGGAAGGGGTTGGGTCCCCTGAAACTGGAGCTTCAGAGGGTTGTGAGCTGCCATGTGGGTGCTGGTAATAGAACCTGGGTCCTCTGCTAGAGCAACAAGTGTTAACTGCTGAGCCATCTCTCCAGCCCCAGCAGAGATTTCCCAAAAGGTATTTTGGAATAGCAGAACATTGGTTGGGAATACTTGCCACACTTATTTATGGCCATGTTCAATGAGGTTCAGACAAACAAAGGATTTTGGCCTTTGTTTTGTTTTTTGAGACAGGGTCTCACCATGTAGCTTTGGCTGGCCTTTAACTCACAATGTAGACTAGGCTGGCCTTGAACTCACAGAAACTAGCCTGCCTCTGCCTCCTGGGTGCTGGGATTGCAGGTGCCATCTATGACAGGTTTGAAATATGGTCTTTAACTTCATTGGCATGCCTTCTAGTGAGAGGCCAGGGACCTTCCTTTCCTGCCTCTCAAGTTGCCTTGTTGAGTCACCCATGGGTTCTGGCAGCTCCCATGACTGGTCATGTGGAACACTCGCTCTTGGGACATAGACACCATGGGTAAGGCAGCCTTAGCCTGGGGATCATCTGTATAGATAAGATGGAGGTCCCTAGCTAATAGCCCACACTGAGCTTTCAACTTACGGCCAGCACCTGCTTGCCAAGAATGCCCTAGTTAATGTCCCAGGGAATGCAGGTAAACTGTCCCCACCAAGATCTGCCCATATTAAAGAGTTGTGAACAAATTGATGCCACGTCATTAACCTTCGGCACAGACTGTTGCACAGGTGTAGAGGCTCCACCATCGCAATGCCATCACTCCCTGTTTGCCACTCGCCTGTCCTTGCTGCTCTCTGAACATGTAAACTGTTCTTGTTTACGAGCTGTGGAACTTGCTCTTGACGTCTATGTCCAATATACACACCGGTCTCAGTCTCTCTCCCTTGCTCTCTTAGTCTCACTCCTGCCCGCTCAGACACACACACACACACACACACACACACACACACACACACACACAGCACTCTTGAGTCGTTAATCACTGTTATCTTTCCAGGAAGGCCTTCCCTAAACTGGCAAACCACACTGTCCCAGCCCTGCCCCCCTTCACCCGTTTTCTCCAGAGAAGCCATCAGCATCTGATACACTACATGGTTTACTTCGTTGGCTAAACCTCAGGGTGACAGGAACCATCTGTGTCACCCCCTGCTGATTCTCTGTGTTGAGGACAGTGTTTCTCTCATGGTCCCTCCTCACCTGAGAGGCACGATGGCATCCTTGTGGCAGATGCACAGGGAGCCTTACAAGTTTGTCCCCTCCCTCCCACCCTCTCTGCTCTCCAGAAACTGACCTCACTCCTCCTGTTGTCCACACCTCCTGGACTATGGAAGTCAGAGACCCCAGGTGTCTTCCGCATTGGAAGGTGTTCTCCTCTGTCTGGAGAGAAAGTCTTTGTATGCTATCCTGTGCTCATTTCACACCAGGGATGATTGTGAGACTTCAGGCTCAGAATTCCAGGCTTTATTGTGTGTGTGTGTGTGTTTGAATGTATGTGTGTATATGTGTATGTATATATATGTGTGTGTGTGTGTGAATGTGTGTGTATATATGTATGTGTGTGTGAATGTGTGTATGTGTGTGTATATGTGTGCATGTGTGTGTGTGTGTATTGGGGGAGTTTAAAGCATCATTCACTTGTGTGGGTACATATGGAGGCCAGAGTTTTTGTTGAGATATTTTCACAATTACTTTTCCACTTTATTTTTTTCAGGCTAGGGTCTTTCACAGAAGCTGGAAATGATTGTTTACAGAAGATCCCAAAGAGTCTCCTGCCTCTGCCCCCTCGCACTGGGGTTACAGGTGTGAGCAACAACGCCCAGTTTTTACATGGGTGCCGAGGATCTGAACCCAGTTCCTCACACTTGTTCAGCAATCCCTTTCACCACTGAGTTTCCCCCCCCCCCACCAGTTCCTTTCAAGATTCGTTTTTACGAGCAAAAATGATAAGAACTTAAAGTAGATAATGAATGAGCAAGGATGAAATCAATGCAGCACTCCGGCCGCTGACCGCTGTGTAACATCCACCCCCAAAGTCAGACGCTACAAATGATATCGTTTACTTACTGCATTCCAGGCTGCCATCTGAACAGGCCTCAGTAGGGGCAGCTTGTGTCTGCGCCACACGCTGTCAGCTGGGGCAAATCAAGCCAAAGCTGTCGCGTGTGCCTGCACGTTCGTGCTTTTAGCATGTCAGGGATCCTCCTCCGTCTCACAGAGTCTGACTTTCAAGCATTGTTAGGCTTTATTCTCAAAACAGTTCTTGGAAGCTATGAGAACCCTCTTGCTTTTCTCAAGTTGAATGGCCAAGGTAGCAAAGAGTGCCACTGACCCATGGGTGGAGACCCTCACGTGGTCATGTATGACCATTGAAAACTGTATCAGTGTGTTCCAAAAAAAATTCAAGTTATTTTTAAAAACCATATTTGTATTCATTCTTGAAGAATTTCTTGCAACATGCATTAATCATATTTACTCCCACTCCTCCCAAACCCTCTCAGATTCACCCCTACTGACCCCCAGATAATCCCCCAAATCCAGTTTGTTCTGCCCATATATTCATGAGTGCAAGGCCATCACTGGAGCTTGGGTGACCTACTAGGGTCCACGACCTTAAAGAAATCTGACTGTTTCTCCCTCAGAAGCCACCAACAGTCAAGGGTGTGAGCTAACAAATGCCTGCCCACTCCAGGTTGGAATGTTCACCAGATTGATCTTGGGCAGGTCCTTCGTGGGCAACCACAGCTGCTGTGACTTCCTGGGTCCTGTCGTGTCCAGACATCAGTGCCTCACTCTGGTCCTCCCCTACCTCGAGCCGACTCTTCTGTGATGGTTCCTGGGCCTGGGCTGTGTGCGATACAGAGGTTCCAGCTGTGGCTGAGGTCTCTGATGATCTCTTTGCACCTTGGCCAGTTGTATACCTATTGCATTTTGTTCAGTTATTAGTTCCCTTAATGAGGAAAAAAAATGGAATTATCCCTTATTTTATGCCTATTTTTGAAGAGCATTAATGACGTATATAAACCTTTTAGTAAATAGGTAGATAAATTGATCAAGAATAGTCACTAAATTTACGATGGACAAATGTATTGTTGACTTTTGATAAGAGCACCTCACATGAACAACATTTTTATTTATTTTTATTTTTTAAGCATTTAAACATTTATTTTTTTAAAAGCAGTGGGTAGGTTCACAAATGCCACTGTACATATGTAAAAGAAAACCAAAGGGAGTTGATTCTCTCCTTTATGTCGTCATCTATTTTTTTTTATTTTTTTAAAAAAATGATATGAAAAGTATAAATCTATCACACAAACAAAATGATTTTTTAAAGACTTACTTATTTTTATTTTGTACATGTGAATAGTTTGCTTGCATGTGTGTATGTGCACCACGTGAGTGCCCGGGGCCCATGGAAGCCAGAAGAGGGTGTCAAATTCTCTGGAACTGGAGCTGCAGATGGTTGTGAGCCATCATATGTGTGACAGTAATTGAACCCGTGTCCTCTGAAAGAGCAGCACCTAGAAGTCGTCTCCTCAGTCCCATTTTCTTGCGTGTTCTAAAAGAGGTGCTCCATGGGCTGACGGGATGGCTCAGCAGGTAAAGGTGTCCATCAGAGCCTGACGAGCTGAGCTCAATCCCTGTGACCCACGTCCTTATGGGTAAAATAAAAACAAATAAATCTTCTTTTAAAATCCTTTAGTTTTTAGATCATAATATAATTACCTCATTTCCCTCTTTTCTTTCCCCCTCTAAATCCTCCATGTACCCTACCCCTTGCTCTCTTTCAAATTCATGACACCTTTGAAAAATTGTTGTGATGTGTGTGTGTCGTAGGGAAACATACATACCCACACCCACACGTAATCCTTTATTTTAAATAACTGCAGAGGGGCTGGAGAGATGATTCAATTCCCAGCACCCACATGGCAGTTCCCAGCTTCCTGTTATTCCATTTCTGGAGTACCCTATGCCCTCACACAGACATACATGCAAGCAAAACACCAGTGCACAGAAAATAAAAATAAATCATTTAAAAAATACTGAAAGCTTATGGGATGTCAGTGATATTTTGGTTCTATAGAGCAGTAGATTGAGACACACTGAGATCCCCAGCTGGGATACCAGCAGGCACTTCAGACATTTGGGTTTCTTAAGGCAGTCTTTACATAGGCCCCAGGTGATTGGCGTCAGAGCCTTGGTTTGTGAGGGGAGCACGGCATCTATAGGAGCTGATTCCTAAGCTGGACCCTGAAGGACAAATAAGAACGGCGTCTAATGAAACAGCTGAGCAGGAATCACGACGTTGGCTTTCCAAGGGTTCCAGACAGTGTACTGGGGGCTGGGAAGCCAAAGGAATAGAAGATTTGGCCCTTGAATTACAGACAGTTAAATTGTTAAAACCGTCATGTTAGCAGCTAGCATAAAAGTGCGTACGTTGGTCCAAGGAAGGTAGAGGAAGTCAGAATCAAGGGCAGGTCATTAGTTCATCGAGGGTAAATGAGGTGGCCTTTGAGTTAAGAGCTGAAGGAAGAGGAAGCGCTGGCCAAACAAACAAGGAGTGGAACGCACATCTCTAGCAGAGTAAATCACATATTCGGTGAACAAATTTTTTTTTAAAAAAATCTTCTGCTTGCTATATGCAAGTTAATTTCATTTTTTATGCCTCAATTTCCCTCCTGATAATTGGGTATAATGACTGCACTTCTCTAAACATTCCTACAAGCGCGAAAGTGATAAACACTTGTAAAGCATTTAGAGAGCAACGTCAGTGCATTCTAAGTCCCGTGCGAGCTTTTCTAAAGATCATAAGCTGACTGCTAACCAAACTCTTAAGTCTCTTACATGAACGGCATGCCAAGCCGGTCTCCTTCAGGCTAAAAATCCTGCCATCCGTTGCCTCTGCCCAGAGAAGATGCCAGACTTGGCATTTAACCCCACTGGAGTTCCTTCTGGCTGCTCGGGGGCTTTTATTTCCTTTCTGCACCGGATCCCGCTCAGCCAGTCCCTGATGCGGGACGAACGCGGGAAAGGAGTCCAGGGTGAGCTGAGCATGAATCCAGCGGTCATCAAGATGCGCCAGAGTCTTCACACTGACGCCCGACCAGCTCTAAGTGTCTCTAATCACATTTCAACGGAGCACAGAGTCAAAATTTGACAAGCACATAAACTTAATAGCTGATCTGCAAACGTAATTAGCACCTAACTGATCTGTAACTGCCAGAGAATAAACCCACGGGGCTGTTGTCCAAAGTCCTCCAGTTAAAAAGAAGAAGGTGTGAGGGCTGAGGTCGTGAAGACGAAGCCACTACGGCCACCGTGGAGCTGAGTGTCTGCCCCATTTGGGGCTCTAGACACAATGCAGGGAAGCAAGTCCTCCGAAGGCATCACTGGAATCCTGTTTGGCTGTTCTGATGCAGGAGATAAGAAAGGGAATCAACGGGGGATATGTAAGATGCGGAACTATAAAAATAAACCCGTGTCCCTGACATCTGTGTTTGTAAGTGCACTCCGTTTAAAGTGGTGGTCTTCCCTCTGCAGGGCCAATCCCAAGATGACATCCTCCGCATTTGGTTTTTCCTTTGGCCCTCCCTCATCAGAGGGCTTTCCCAGAGACCTCTTCACTTCCAGCTTTTGTTTGATGTTCTCCGTGTAAGAGTGGTCAGGATTGTGGATGTTATGGATGGAGGATTTCAGAAAGTCGGCTTCTCTCCTCCTCCACTGTTCGGCTGCTGAGGTGAGTGTGTGCTCCCTCGTCTCAGATGGAATCCTTCCCACCCCCTTACGTGGGGAGTGCCACTGTGGGCAATCCCAGAACAGGTTTGACTCAAATAAATGACACATGACGGGGTGGCCAGATGTTCGCGGGTGAGAACGGGAGCTAAGTTCACACAATTGTTCTGCCTGCCTCCTCGCTTCCCGCCAGGGTTCTTTCCTGTGGGCTGCAGATCTGGCTGCCAGCAGCTCAGCTCTGCCGGCCTCCACCAGCCCAGCCTGTGCTCCAGGGGCCGCCCAGCCTGTGCTCCAGGGGCCGCTCACAGTCTGCCTTCCTTTTCCTGTGCAGCTGGTGTTTGCAGAAGGACACGATTTGGAAGTTGATTTATTTACTTTGCTGTATTTTTTTATGAATGGACATAAATATCTGTTTGTTCAAACAATCAATCAACTCCAGTGATACGTTTAGAATTTAGCAGAAAAACACCCTTGGTGTGCATGTGGAGCGCTAAGACTTGGGGTCTGGGAATGCTCAAATAAACTGTCTCGCTCAGAGCGAAGTCAGAGAATTTGTTGCATCTTCAAATACAAGCCGAGCTGAATGAGCGGATCATGTACTCTGCAGCCTAGAGCTTGTGAATGAAGTATCACTTTCAATTGTGGACGACCATGGCTGAAGTTCCTGTCACTTCCTTTTGTCTCTGTTGTCTTCGCTTGGAGACTTTCAGGGTGTTTATATGGCCTCAACTACAGAGAGAGAGAATATTCCAGAAAGAGCCTCCTTCTCTTGAGCTAACTCCTCTCCACAGATCCCTTTTAAAGTCCAAAGATCTGAGACACAAACATGGAGCTCACAGGAACGACCGATGGCCTGGGACGGACTCGCTTCCTTTAAAGAGTTTACCCGTAATTTTGAAAGTGACAAAGAAAGCCTTAAGGCACAGCCAGCCGAAAGCCACACTCTCTGGCTTCTGCTGTATCAGCCCCTGGGTTTCCCTGCCAGAAGAAACAATCACATTTCTAGAGTATTCTTTTAGAGGTGTCCTACATAGATATAACACCCAAAGATAGGTTTGCTCCTTAGATATACAGATAATAGCATACAATACATTGTTCTGCACTTCTGCTTCTCCCCTCCCGCCCCAGAACAATACGTCAGACTGTCTCCCTGCCTCACCCCTGCCCATGAAGCTGTCAGAAGAGAAGCCGCTTTTCATCTCAGTGAGCTACATCTGGTTCTGGCTTGTTGTATTGACAGCGAGCACGGTGCCAAGTCAAACTCAGCCTTCTCCACAGTTATTCCCAGCCCCAAAAGACAGAGATTCTACTCAAAACCTTAAAACTTCTAATGGCGGCAAGTAGGGAGTGGGCATGGGAGACAAGGAAGGCCTCATCGTGCAGAATAGAACGTGGTATGAACAGACAATTTGAAAGGAGAGGCACTTGGCAGTCTCGCAAAAGGGAAGTCCGTTGCTTCCTTCTCTGCATTGGTAAGCAGAATGAACTCACCTGCTGTGGGGGCATCGTTTTTTTGCCAGGCAGGGCTCTTCAGGGTCGCTCAGTTCGTAAAGTGCTGGCTGAGTAGGCCAGCAGAGGCAGATCTCTG